GGTTGAGGCAGGAGAATCACTTGAACCTGGGAAGAGGAAGTTCCAGTGAACCGAGATCACACCATTGCACTCCAGCCTAGGCAACAAGAATTAAACTCCATCCGTCCCCCCCGCCCAAAAAAAAAGAAAGACAAAAGAACTGGCATCCAAAATATGGAAAGAACTCTTAAAACTTAGCAAGAAAAAAACAAACAACCTGATTCTTAGAATGGGCAAAAAAGCTGAATAGATACCTCTTAGAAGAATATATAACAGGACAAGTAAGAATATGAAAAGATGCCCAGTTTCACATGATTACAAAATTGAAAATTAAACAATAAGATCCTACTACATACCCACTAGAATGGCTAAAATCCAAACACTGACAATGTCAAGTGCTGACGAGCATGTGGAGCAACAGAACTCTCGTCAGTGCTGGCGGGAATGCAAGATGGTACAGACACGGTTGGAAGACAGCTGCACAGTTCCTGATAAAGCTAAACATACTCTAACCGACCCATCCAGCAAACACATTCCCAGGTATTTACCCAAATGAATGGGAAGCTTATATCCATACAAACACTTGCACACGTTTGTAGTATCTTTATTCCTGATTGTCAGAGGTTGGGAGTAACAAAAATACCTTGAATAGGAAAACGGCTGAGCAAGCGGTGCAGTACTCACACACTACAGTGCTGCTCAGTAATCGTAAAAAAAAGAGCTATCAAGCCACAAAAAGACATGGAGGAGTCTTAAGTGTATAGTACTGAGTCAAATAAGCCAGTCTGAAAAGGCTACATACGATATGAGTCCAACTATAGGACATTCCAGAAAAGACCAAATTACAGGGAAGGGAAGATGAGGGAGAGCACAGGGGATTTTTACGACACTGAAACTACTCTGTGTGGCATCATAATGGTGGGTGCAGGACATCACGCATTTGGCAAAATCTGCAGAGGGTCCGTCACCAGGAGTGAGCCCTCATGTAAACTATGGACAGCAATTATAATGCGTCATTATTGGCTCTTCAATTGTAAAAAACATAACAAACCAAAGCCAGGTATCAATAATAGCGGAAAACGAGGGGAAGGAAGTAGATAAATCAACAGACTTGCTCGATTTTTCTGTAAAATTAAAACTGCTCTAAAAAAATGAGGTCTATTAATTTTTTTAAAAAGACTGCTGGACATGATGGCTCAGGCCTGTAATCCCACAAACTGGGAGCACATAATTGCCAAACACATATCTAATAAAGAAACTGTCATCAAGGCCGGGCGTGATGGCCCACGCCTGTAATCCCGGCACTTTGGGAGGCTGAGGTGGCAGATCACTTGAAGTCAGGAGTTCGAGACCAGCCTGGCCAAAATGGTGAAACCCCATCTCTACTGAAAATACAAATATTAGCCAGGTGTGGTAGTATGTGCCTCTAATCCCAGCTAGTCGGGAGGCTGAAGCAGGAGAATTCCTTGAACCCAGGAGGCAGAGACTGCAGTGAGCCAAGACTGCGCCACCGCACTCCAGCCTCAGTAACAGAGGAAGACTCTATCTCAAAAATAATAATAATAATAAAAAGACTGATGTATAACTATATGCTAACTTGCCAAAAGAAGATAAAATTCTTAAAAAGTCACTTTAAAAAAATGTCATAAAATGAAAGGCAAGGAGACCAATCTCGGTTGAGGACAACTAAAAAGGCATGAGGGACAGAGGCAAAGCATGGACCTTAATTAGATTCTGGGTCCATAACAAAATCAACAAGTACAAAAATGCCTACTAATGCACATTTTGCAAACACTTGGGAAAATACAAAGATGGACTCTACAGTAAATGACAGTGAACTGATGTTCCTTTCTTGAGCAATTTGGTGGTACTTTGGTGATACAGAAAACCATCCTCATTCTTAGCATCAGGATGTCTGCATCTTTAAAATGGTTCGGGGGGAAAAGCATCTAAGTGTCAACAGGGGAACAGTATAAAGGCATTCATCCTACTGGTCCTTCCATCCTCTGATGGTCGATAACTGTAAAAGTTGGGTCTTTGAAAAGACTGATAAAAAGCACATAAACTCCTCATAAGAATAATCAACAAGAAAAGAGAGAAGGCACATATACCCAGCACTAAGAGGAAAGGAAGGCACCTTACTCACAGATACCCCTGATACTGGTGAGTTTCTAAAGGGGTATTGTGAGCCAGTTTAAGTCAACACGTTGGAAAGCTTAGTTGAAATGGACGAGGTCCTACAAATCAAGTTAGCAAAGCTAACAGAAAAACTGAACAGCTCTTTAACCATAAAAAAAACTAGATCAGTAGTCAAAAATCTCTCCAACAAAATATCACCCCACAGAGCTTTCTTTGTAAGTTCCACAACATTCAGACAACAAATACTTCAAATATCACAAAAACTATTCAAGTATACACACAAAGAAGGAACATTCCTCAGCTTCTTTTCTAAGGCCACAATTATTGATTACTTCCACTAGGCAAAGGCAGCAAGAAAAAGAAGAATCCCTGGCCAATCTCACTCACGAACACAGATTTAACATATGGAACCAAATGGCTGCAAACTGAGTTAAGCCCTTCATGAAACAGATTATTCTTGACACCGGTCACCCCAAAAAGAAATGTGTGCATAACAGGAGACGGTCATTTAGTATCACTCCATGTAGCACCAGCCTAAGGGAGAAGAGTCCTATGACCACCTTAACACACACACACAAACAACCAAGGGAGACAAATCAACATCTAGTCACTATCTTTTTTAAAAACCAAATTAAGAATTGAACTTTCTTAATGGAATAATGCTGATTGTTTTTGTTTTATAAAAAGCCTGGGGCAAATGTCATACACTAAACTCTCTGGGAGGACAAAGGAAACAAAGGTGGCACCACCCTCCTCCAGTCCTCCCTTCACTCCACTGGAGGTGTCGGCAGCACAGAGACAAAAACAAAATAAAAGCACAACTGGGAGCCAGGCGCAGTAGCTCATACTGTAACCCCAGCACTTTGGGAGGCTGAGGCGGGAAGACTGCTTGGACTCAGGAGTTTAAGACCAGCCTGGGCAACCTGGTGAGACCCTGACTCTATAAAAAATACAAAAATTAGCCAGGTGTGGTGGTATGTACCTATAGTCCCAGCTACTTGGGAGGCTGAGGTGGGAGGAAGGCTTCAGCCCAGGAGGCAGAGTTTGCAGTGAGTGAGCCATGATCATGCCACTGTTCTCCTGCCTAGGTGACAGAGTTTCAAAAAAACAAAAAGAGAGATAGATTCTGTTTTTAAAAAAAAGGTTGTGTTCTTAAGTTACCAGGAGTGTAAGAGGAAACTTGCTCCCTGTGGAGCAGGGAGCCGGCAGGCAGATGTAGCATGCTGGACCATAATGGTTATTGGAGAAAATCAGAGCACAGCACAGTCTATCATTTAAAAAAACAAAACAAATCCTGTGACAACACCCAGCACTGGAGAGAAAGGTGGGCAGCTGAAAGACTCGTGCAGTTTAGAGCAGAGGTAAGATGAGAACCAGCCCAATGCCCATCTGTGGCAAAGGCACTGAGAAGGGCTGCGTCTTGGCAGGGGACCGCAAATGAGGGAAGAGACACAGCTGCAGTTCCCTGGGGCTGGGCAGGAATCTGCCAAGCCTCCCACTTAGTGAGCAAAGCTCACTACGGAAGAGCTCGCCAGTGTCTGCCCAGCACATCAGCAGCTGTGCACAGAGGCCCTCAACTGTGCCTGAGGGCCAGCACCCTGGGGGCTCTGCAGAGGAGAGCCAGGGAAGGACAAACTCAAACTCACTATGCCAGGCGCTGCAGGGGAGGGCAGGGAAAGGAGAGACTGAGCCTGGGGAAGACACACCGGGGCCTGTGGTACACACCTGGCAGTTCATTATATCACGCTTCTGTAAATTCAACTTCCTTGATAATGATCACTTTGAATTTACCCGACATTTAACAGAAGGAATTAAAATCAAGCTGGTATCCAGGTACACACAGAGGTGAGATGGCACTCCCCTGTGGGAGGACCTGGGTGAACGCCTTTCTGACTTCTGAGGTTGGCTCCTGCTCCGTGTCTAGGGTCTGAAACCGGCCTGGACGACTTTCTAACTTCTGAGGCTGGCTCCTGCTCCGTGTCTAAGGTCTGAAGCGTTCCTTGAGGTCTCTGCCTGCCCTGGGCACACACTGCATCACCACCTGTGCCGAATGCTAGCTGAGAACACCGGACAGTGGACGAGAACTGAGAGTTCACTCAGGGTGTGAATAAACGGAGTCAGCTGGTCCTCACTGTGAAGCCAAGAGGCAGCGTCAACACTGAGGAAGCAAAGGCCCAGAGACTGACCACACAACCGAAACCAGAACTCAGGCTTGTTGGATTCCAAATCAGTGCCCTTACAGACACGCTCAAGCACACATGGGGGCTCCAAACCCTCCAGGAACTGCTTTACACGTATCACACAGAGCATGATGAGACCCGCGGCCGGCTGCTGGAGATGGACCAGAGTTCCCACACAGGAGGACGAGGTCGACAGTCAGCACTCACTTCCCACACAAGCAGCTATGGGAGGGAGGCGAGCACTTCATCTGTCGCCAGGCAAAGGAATTGCAAAAGGCCAGCAATTCTGACCTGGGGCAGGGAAGCCCGGAAGCTGCATCTGCAGGGCAGCTTAGAATTAGCCCTTTAGAACATTTAAAACATTTTCTTTTCCAAGAAAATCACTGATGCTTCATGCAGTTTTTCAAACGACACCCTCGAGGTCTATCCTTGGAGAATTACACACAACTGCTGTTCTCACAGCAGCAAATATAAACCATGCGTGCCCTGCTTCCAGGCAATCACTGCACAGACATGTTCTGCCACAGACACGGCGCCCTCCTTGTCCCTGGTTCCCTGGGCCGTTCAGTTACTGCATTTTGGGTTTGCTGAAGCAGAGTAACATCCACGGCTTCACAGAAGCTACGGATAGGCAGGACCTGCTGCGGACCAACACAGCACGGCTTCTGCAGGAGCGGAAAGGAGGCTGGAAGGCACACCCACCTTGTTGAAGACCCAGACCTCCCCGTTCACTGTGGGCCTGGGCACCCCGTGGCCGTTGTAGTGAAAGAGGACGCGCTCTTCCTTGGCGTTTCGGCGTAGGGACGTGCAGAGCTTCTTGACTTCATCCACAGTTGGGTCAAGGCTCTGCTTGTACCGGGCCTGTTGCAGGAGAAGAAATGAAGAAATTTACCAAGGACTCAAGGGAAAGCCTGGAACTCATCCCCTACTCTTTCCACTGAGTTTGCAGTTAATAGCTGTGTGGTCCTGAACACATGGCTCAGAGTTTCTCCATCTATAAAACTGGATAATGCCAGGCACTACAGCTCATGCCTAAAATCCCAGCATTTTAGGAGGCCGAGGTGGGAGGATCAGTTGAGCCCAGGAGCTCAAGATCAGCCTGGGCAACAGAGTGAGACCACATCTCTGCAATTAAAAACAATTAGCCAGGTGTGGTGGCACACGCCTATAGTCCCAGCTGAAGTGGAAGGATCGCTTGAGCCCAGGAGGTTGAGGTTGCAGTGAGCTGTGATCGCATCACTGTACTCCAGCCTGGGTGACAGAGTAAGACTGTCTAAAAAAAACAAAACGCTAGCTAAGAACTACCACACATGATGGTTATAAATATTTATTCAACAAATATTTATTGAGAACTACTAGGAACATCAATGAGATAAGTAATGCCTGTCACACGGCAACACCAAGTCAAACGTAGCTGCCACTGGGGTACCCAGTGTTTCTCAGAAGCACAGGGTCCTTCCAAAAACATCTGGAGCACGGAAGAGAGAATTTGCTCAAATGAAGGAACCCGCAATGTATACCCGGCAGCAATGGTGAAGAGTGGAGGAACCGATGAAGGAATTGCCCTGCTGAGGGCGGAGCCCACGGCAACAGGGCAGAGCCCACAACAGCAAGGCGGAGCCCACGGCAACAGGGCGGAGCCTCAGCAGGCAAATAGTGACTAGACTGCCTCCTAGCTGGGCAGGACAGTGCAACCGATACTCATAAATAAAGCCCTAACTCCCCCAGACACAGCATCTGAGGAAAAAAAGGGGTTTTATGAGTTCTGCTGCAGCAGACTTAAACGTACCTGCCTGACAGCCCTGAATAAACAATGGAGCTCACAGCTCAGCACTTGAGCTCCTACAAAGTACAGACTGTCTCCTCAAGCAGCTCCCTGACCCCTGTATATCCAAAGAGTCACCTCAAAAAGGACTGATCAGACTGACATTTGGTGGGCATCATTCTGGGACAAAGACAGCAGAAGAAGAAACTGATAGCATCCCTCACTGTTCCGCAGCTGCTACAGGTGTACCCCAGACAAGCAGGGCCTGGAGTGGACCTCAGCAGTCTTATAGCAGAGGGGCTAGACTGTTAGAAGGAAAACTAAGAAACAGAAATACTACATCATCAACAATCTGGGCGTCCACTCAGAGACCCAATCGAAAAGTCAGCAACTACTCAGATGACAGGTGGATAAATCTACAAAGATGGAAAGAAACCAGCGCAAAAAGGAGGAAAACACCCAAAACCAGAACACCTCGCCTCCTACAAAGGAATTGCCCTGCTGAAAGCTCCTCTCTCCACTCCTGCTGGGGACCTTCTGGATGCCTCTAAGAATTCCATGAATTAGCAGAACCTAAAACGGACGTAGAACAATCAATAGCCTTGATATACACAAATAATAAATGGAGGACGTCATGGCAAAGAGAACCCCATGCAGAAAGCTACTGAGCAGACTGAACGCATAGAAATAAGCTTAACATGAAATGTGCAAAACATAGACATGGAAGTTTTTCAAAGCCCTCCTAGAAAACACAAGCAGACCTGAAACAATGGAAAGATGCTCCCTGCTCGGGTAGGCTGCCCCAACATTCTTAAGATGTCAGTTCTCACTAGCTTAATTCACAGATTTAATGTATTGCCAATAAATACCCCAACAAGCTATTTTATGGCGTTTAACAAGCTGCTATGAAGGTCACGTGGAAAACAAACAGGCACGAAGGGCCAGAAAAGCATGGCAGCAGAGAGCCCTGCATGTGGCCTGGCCTGGCCAGACACTGCAGGCTCCTCTAGGACCTCTCATCAGAGAGCGAGGCTGGGGGGGTGGAGACCACCAGCCCAGGGAACTCACACCTAGTCCAGAATCAGACCCACACACACGTGACTTGGCTTTCTTGAGAACGGTGTTTACACAGTCCTAATGCTACGAATGCTGATTTTATTTTCATAAAAACTGTGCCAACTTCTGGAGAACCCAAGTGAGGAGGGCAGGACAGGGAGGAGACAGGCCTGGCTGGGTGGCAGGATGCTGGAAAATGGGCACCGGCGGGTGTTGCGAGAAGCTGCTCTGGTTGCCGGTCATCGCTCTTTGGCTGCGAAGCACTTTTCATGATGAACTCTTAACAAAGAAGAACTGACAGAGTAAATCCATGACTTTCTGGGGTTGGGGAAGGGGACAGCGGGTGTGAAAGTGCTGAGGCCACACCAGGCAGTCAGGAGAGATGCCCCAAGTGGAGGAATCAGTGCAAAGCTGCACCAACATATGCCATGCGAACAAACAGCTAAAAGGGTGTGCCTCTGGGTGGGACAAGGCTTTTACAAAGGAATGTGTATGTTCATCACTTTGATAAACTTTTAGAACTTTAAGAATAACTGAAGTAAGGCCAACGCTATGATCATCACTTGAAGAGAAATGCCGGTAAGTGTTCAGAACGTGCTGGGGAGGCTGGGTTTGAAGGGAGACCTGGACTCCCGCTATGCCCAGGCTGGGCACACAGATGTGCAGGAAGCTCCTGCTGATGTGACTGAGAAGGGAAACAGAGAGGACATCCCCTGAGGAGGGCACGCCGCTCATGCTTCAGAAAGGTTCCCCTGCCAGGCGTGGTGACTCACACATGGAATTGCAGCATTTCAGAGGCCAAGTTGGGAGGATCACTTGAGGCCAGGAGTTCAAGACCAGCCTGGGCAACATAGTGAGACCCCCATCTCTACAAAAAATAAATAAAGACAGGTTCGCTGGCATTTCCAGAGAAAAATAGTTTGATGTAAGTAAAACAACAGGAAAACGAGGCCCAGTTCCCACAGCATTAGCCCCTCTGTTGTATACAATACACAACATTTGGTCTCACCTAATTATCTACATTAAAACTCTAGTTTATGACAACAGAAAACCCTTGGTATTCTGTACCTTGTACTATGGAAGTCGTCAGCAGATGTATGAGACTTAAAAAGTTTTTCCAGGTTCTCCCAATTTTGTATACCTGCAAGCAAAGCCCGTAGAGAACCACCAGCGAATCCAAGGCTAGTAACCCTGTACCACGGCAGGACAGTGCAGAGCCCTGGTCTCAGGCGGGCTAGGGCAGCAGAGTGATCTCCCCTCTCAGTGACTCCTCCCTCAGGACCAGAATGCTGCTTGAAAAACTGACACCAAGGAGACTTGAGAGAGAGCTAACAAACTGATAACGCGGGATTTTCAAGTCCATTGTCATCAATGAGGAATGCGTGTTGACACCCACGGAGGCTCTGCCAGAACAGGGCTGGCCCCCAGGGAGCCTGGGTCCACAGGGAAAGAGGAAGTGCTCAGAGAAGCACGGAGCGAGGCAGGAGGGGTGTCACGAGTGGCCTGGGAGGCTGTGTGTCACCTGCTCCCGTAGATGGGCAGCACTGGCCTGCGGGGGACCCCAGCCATGTGGGGGCCAATCTGACCCACACGTTCCAGAAGAGCCTGTTCAATGCCCAGATCTCCTACAAAATTCCTTCCTGAATCCCTTCAGTAGGATATCATTTCTTCTTTCTCTGAATTAACATACTGCTCACTACACAGTTATGTGCAGCTATCTTAATTCTATGCAGACGGTAAATTCTGTGACGGTATGCACTGCTTACCCACATGTGTGCCTTGCTGGACAAGGCACTATTTTATGTCCTTTTCCCAGCCTTACAACATACTAAAGTTACCAGAAACTAACTGCTGAAGGATAATCAGATTTTTACTGACATTAAATGCAACAATTAGTAACAACATCAATTTGTAGTAAAGAGACTGACAGAATCCTGCCTGAGGTTGAAGAGGCGTAAGTAACTGTAGACGTAACCCTGGAAAGCTGCATCCAGGTGCTGGTTTCACAGGCCGTGCGAGTCGTCATTCATTCCGCTTTGCTGCCTGAGATTCTGCATGCTGAGACTTAACGGTGGAAACGTCCTGGATGCATTCCTGATCAACTGTGTTCTTGGTGAGACAGAACCAGGCCACTGTGTCTTGATGTCTTAAATACCTGAATTTTGGTTGATCCCACACAACAGGCCAAGGGCAGCTGATAAATGAAAGCGCAGTTTTGGGGGCATTTCAGAAGGAAACGCTTCATTCAGCTGTCACGACCTTGGCTGCATGCCCTCCGAAACCACATCCACACAAGTAAGTACATTCTAAATCAGAAAATATGTCTGAAGTAGAAGTAGCTAGACAGTCTGTCTTCAAACGGATAGGCAGAAAGAATGACGGACACGTAGGGCGGGGTCAGTCTATAGAGATCACTTCCAATCAGCGCTCCAGCAAGAGCCCCATCTCGCCCAGGTCTCTCCACATGCAACAAGAAAGTACGGAGTCCTGCGGAGGACCTAGTTTACGGGCTCCTTCAACCAGAGCACCTCAACTATAAGACCTGCATAAACATGGAATTTAGGTTTTTCTCTGAATCAGAGTTGTGATAATGGCCAATCTAAGCAGCAAGCCACATCTCATTTTGGTCTGGACCTTTATGTAAATTGAGCTCTATGCATTTTTAATGGAAGTGCTTTTTAAAATGTGTCACGGGTAGAAACAACTAGAGGTTTTCCAAGAAAGCCTTAGCACAGCTCCAGGCCCCAGGGCAGGGGCAGCCATCATGGAGACTCCTCCTGTGGTACTGGGGCCCTGGGAAGGAGAAGGGCAGGGAAGGAGGAGGGCTGGGAGGGAGGAGGGCGTATACAGTTTCCTACCTCCAGGGACACTTTAAGGCAGCTCAAGTAGGGAAGAGCAAAACTGAAGTAGGACTAAACAAAATGGTTTTTAGTGGATGCTAAAGGAGTTCTGCATTTGCTGGGTATTTCCTTTGCGAGCACAAGAACTAAAGGCATTTTTATTTACTACCAATAAGAGCAATAATGGGGAAATCATACTA